GGGGATCTCGTAGTCGAGCAGTCTCGACTAGAGCTTTCTTACTTGTTTTTGTTTGGTGGAGGGAAGGATGGAATGAAACTTTACCGATTGACTGATTGATCATTAGACTGATGGACTGATTGACTGCTGGAATGACTAGCAAAATTTGAGTAACTCTAAGGATTCAATTCATATACATATACTCTAATCCTCTAATGAAAGCCGAAATTCCTTTCAACTCTTCGGGTTCCTTTAAAGTCAATTTCCTATTGCTCTATCTAAAGTTAACTCAACTTTAAAGAGAAACCTAAATTTAATAAGCAAGAAGCTCTGTTGATTAAATATATAAATTAAATTAATATTAGGTCTACTTCTACGTATTAAAATCAATACCCAAAAAACCAGGTTGACCCGATTTCTAGAACTGACTGAAGACCACTCAAGAGTGCAACTGTGAATGCAACTGAATGCAGCTGTGGCCATATGATATGCAAATCGCGAGTGGCCAAGTGGCTGTTGACCCATTGGAATAGAACCAGATGAATAAAGAAAACTTTCTCTGCCCACACACGCACACACACACACAGCCAAGACTTAGAGTCGCGAGAGGGCCAGGGCATATGGTTTGGTTACCTAATTGGTTGGCCGACTCGACTCGACTGAAGATTAATTGCAATACGAACGATTTCTTTCACAAAATAAAAGAAGCAGAAGCAGAAGAAGAGGCAAACAAATAAAGAAATAAGTAGATATGGCAAACAATGATGAAAAGTAAAAGTTGGCTTTAGACAAACGAACAATGCGAACTAAATGAATTCATGAATAAATTTGTCGGCGTCAGTTCTAAACAAGTTTTTGGTTTTTATTTGTTTCTGTTTTGTTATTAATTTTATGTGGCATAAAATTGCTGTTTTTAATTTACGGATGATTACCATTTTCTCAAAAAAACAAAAAAATAAACATCACAAAGCTTAAATTAGAAATATTTAGATTAGATCTACAAATATATTTCGTTGCGCTGCTGCGTTCTACAATGAGTCTTACTCAAGAGTTTGTTTTTCTTCTTCTTCTTCTTCGTTGCTGGTAATCGGACACCTCAATGCCATAATCCACAAAGCGAGGCAAGACTGTAGCAAAAGTAAAACAGCGAAAACCACGAGACCACAACGACCAAACGACTCGGCCGGCAAATCTGTCGTTGCTTCAGTTCAACTAGACTCAAGCCAAAAGAAATAATAAAAAAAAAAATTTAAAAAAAAAAAACCAAGTGCTATTATAAACCAACATCAAATCTAATGCTAACTGGCCCAAAGCACTTTAACTTTGCGTTATTTAATACATGACTTAATCTGGCCTCGTCTACACAGTTTCTGTAATATGCAAATTACATGTCTGCACACACAAATCAGCTCGTAGATCTATGGCTATTCTATACGTAATTGTCTAGGGTTAGGCTTTTCGAGTGTTAGGCACAGATTTCACACAATCACACACAATTAACTGGGTAAGCTGAAGCTATTATTACACACTCATTATCATCATCTAATGAACTTCATCAGCATAAAGTCAATGAAAACTTTAATAGCTTGAACTTGAATATCGATATGAAAGGAATATATATAATAATCTTTATAAATGTATATAACAAAATAAATATACATACATATATAATTAATTGATAAGGAATTTCTATCTAACTTTCATTGATTTTTTAAGACATGGCATCTTTGAATATTATTTAATATTTATAATTAGTAATATTCGTATTTATTTATAATTATTAATATTAGTATATA